CGTGCTGGGAACCGGGCCCAGCGTCCCAGTAGTGGGGTGGTAGGTGGTGAAGGTGAATTGAAAGAATTTGAAAGATGATGAAAGATTTGAGAGAAAAATATAGCAAAAAAAAAAAAAACAAAAAAAAAAAAAAAAAAAAAAAAAAAAAAAAAAAAGACAAAACGTGTGCAGACCGGGGAAGTGGGAGTACAAGACGAGATTTAGGGGCTCGCCACTGTCGAAAACACGATTTTCGATAGTTTCTATTGGCCACACAGCCTGTCGAAATTGGAGACGCTATCCAGCGGCCTAGCTCAGTTGGTAAGGCTCGCAAGTGGCATTCAAGAGGTCATGGGTTCAATCCCCATTGGCCTCATGACCTTCCTGGGCTTACTTGGCACCCGCTACCCAAGAGATAGACCACTGGATCCCCCGATCGGCATCAAGCAGAGTCTGCTATGTTCGTAGGGGAGGGGCCTGAGGGGAGGCACGGGGGATTGGTTCGCTTTATCCCTGGTGCTACTGGCCGTCACCTGGCCGGTATCCTGCAGGCTCGAGGGGCCGTAAAAACACGGCTCTGGTATGCTACGGGTTTCCCGGTATGCCTATAAGTAGGAGTAGTGGTAGGTAGGTAGTGTGAGGAAAATTGAGAGAAGAGTATAGTCTTTTTAAAAATAAAAAGAAAAAAGAAATTGGAGACGCTGTCCAAAACTAGCAAGTTGTCAGAGAATGCTTCTCGACACCTCCTCCTGTCGAAAGTTGTTGATTCCGTATCCAACAGCTAAGCGGGGCAGCCCCGCTTGGATGCATCAGGAGAAAATCCAGATCCTATGCTTACAAGAGACCAAACTAAATACGGAAAAGATAGAAGAGATCAGACCTTGGTGGCAAGGTCCCCAATTTTGGGCCCCCGCGAGGGGATCCAAAGGAGGTACGGCCATCTTAATCAACAAAGATCTGGACTGTGAAATCTTAGACTCATACTCCGACCTGATGGGCCGCCTAATTTGGGTGAAATTAGCAGTTGAAGATGAAGACTGGGCTATCATTTCTATTTATGCCCCGGCGGACTATGTTGATCGTGCAACTTTCTTCGCCAATTTACCGACAAGTATCCCAGATACGGAAAATATGGCAATCTTGGGAGACTGGAACACAATTCTGTGTCCGGGCCTAGACTCTCCTAAGCCCTCTCCTCTGAGAGAGGACGCCAGCGCCCCAAATGACTCCACATCTAAGGTGGATCTTTGGCTTACTCTTCATGAACACCTACCAAACGATGCTCCTATTATACTTGCGGGTGACTTCAACACCACCCTCGACCCTGCAATGGATCAAAGATCCACATCTACACGCCATGACTTAACACCCTCAACACCATCCGCCCCTGGTCCGAATATCCTCGTTTATGGCAGATAGACAACTTGAAGATGCATATAGATTACTGCACCCCGCCCAAAAAGCCTACACCTGCCTATCATTGAGGGGCGAGCAAGGCCTTGCCAATTCACGAATAGACCTTACGCTTGTTTCTAAAGAGATGATGGACTTAGTTACAACAGCAGAAATTACAACTACCAGCCCATGTAAATCTTTCAACCATAGGATGATAACGCTGAGACTGTCATTCTACAATCATATCCAACGAGGTCCGAGGTTCTACAAATTGAATGCATCTTTGCTTCCCCTCCCCAGATTCAAAGTTCTGGTTAATGACTTATGGAAATATTGGCAAACCCAAAAACCCATCTTGGGGGAAAGGGTGAATTGGTTTAACAACGGACTGACACAATTACGAGAAAGAGCAAAAAAATTATCCATTCAACATGCGAGAGACCGTAAAACATGCCTTGAGAGTCTCATGCGAGACTTAGAAGAATGGAATGAACACCTCATGAATGACCCGCGGCGCCGCCCCTCCTATGACAAAGTGCAAGAGGCCCGAGACCACATCCAGTCGTACATCGAGCAGCAGGAGCAGGCATGGAGGGTGCACGCCAAAATTAAAAAACAACACACGAATGGACTTTTTTCAACAAGGCCAAAGCGAGAACAAGAGCAGCCACTGTTCCCAAGCTTAACCACCTGCTAGACAACAATGCCTTGTCTCCGACCAATGCATATTCGATAGTGGACTACGCGGCTAAATACTATAATAACCTGTTCACATCTGAGACACCCACCAAACACCCGGACGAGGTTCATCAAGCGAGAGAAATTCTTCTACAGGCAATTCGCTCCTCAATAACAACGCAACAAAGGGTCACCTTGGACGAGCCTATAACCTCACAAGACATCTGGGTTACCCTACAAGATATGGAGGATGAGAAAATGTCCGGGATTGACTCTTTCCCGAAAGAATTTTGGGTGAGATTTTGGAACCTCCTTAAGGATGATCCCATGGAGTACATTCAGACGATTAAAAAAGAGGGATCCTTGGGAGGAATGATTGGTCAGGGATCACTACCCTCCTTTATAAGAAAGGGGACAAAGAGAATATTAGAAACTATAAACCCATCACACTACTTTCGGTCCCCTACAAATTAGTGGTCAAAGTTCTTACTAACAGACTATTGCCCCTCATGAATATGTTGATTCATCCGGATCAGACAGGGTTCATGCCCAATCGGAACATCCAGGATAATATCATGTTGGTTAATGAGACTGTCAAATATGCCCGTCAACGGAGGGTCCAAGCAACGATCCTTTTCATAGACTTCGAAAAGGCATATGACCACGTCGATTGAGATTTCCTTGACATATGTCTGCTCAAAATAAATTTTGGTCCGGTCTTTTGTCGATGGGTGCACTTGCTGCACAGATCTGCGTCAACCAACATTATGCTAAATGTTCATCTCTCACCACCAATTCGCCTTCAAAGATCGGTGCGACAGGGAGATCCCATCATCGCACCATTGCTGTTTGTGATTGTTATGGTGACCCTTGCATCGATGATTAAAGCGCATCCGGGTATCAACAAAATTCCTATCCCAGAGATACCGCACCATCTTATACCAATTACTTCACTCTTTGCGGATGATCTCACTCTACTAATACGAGCAGACCCGGATAGCGTCCAAGCTCTCACCCAAGTTATTCACCTCTTCTCGCTCGCGGCCGACATGAAAGTTAATTGGGTTTCAAAGACTGAAGGCTGGTGGCTTCACCCTCAAGGACAACCACACTCTTCAGAGCCGAGTGTAGTAGCATGGGCCCGCAAGGAAGAAACCATAAGGATACTTGGAGTGAGACTTACTGTCGTGGGTCCACCACCGGACCATGGGGACATGCTAGTCAACATGGTTTTGGACCGGCTAGCCAGCTGGGAGGGCCTACACACATCACTGGTGGGACGCGCC